TGGAAAAACTAATTCGAATGCTTCTCGGAAACGGATATCCGGAAGAAGCAATACAATGTGAAATACAGATGGTGATGAAAAGATGGGAGGACGGAGATTAAGAAAGGAAGAAAGGATGGATATGTCTACCCTCTTGTGAATGGGCTCGGAAGCAAAGGCCGATATTATGGAAGTGAAACATTTGTTTAACCCTGAAAGAAAGGACAACCTTCTTCGCCAGCTTGTCAAAGCAACATGAAGTCAACAAAACGGAGCGCTCCTGAGTTTACAGCATAAATTACAAGAACTGTAAACAAAAATGCATCGGAGAGACTGGAAGGATAACCTACACAAGGATCAAGGAACACCAGCGACTATGTAGAAAAATGTATACGGAAAGATCTGAAATAGCTGAACACATCGCCAAAACCGGCCACACAATTGACTGGAATGCACGGAAAGACTGGCCTCATATCATGAAAAGATCAGGAAGTGGAAGATCATGGAGTCTGTGGACATTCTCTTTCAAAGAAATCTGATGAACAGGAGATTGGAAAAGGGAAGATTCAGCGAAGACAACAAAACGAAGGCACTTGTGCCCAGGATAACTATTCAACTACCTCCAGGGGTTGGTTTAGCTGTGAGATGTAGGATAAGATGTTAAAAGCTAAAGATATAGGTGGGCCAGATATAGGTCACCAGTGTGAGTGCGTGGGTAGTTGTGTGCATTTTTCGTGTCTGGGCCGAAAGGGAAGGTGACTGGTGACAGGCCTGACCACGGAGAATACCAGCCAACACAAACATGAAAACCATCCCAGTAGCCTAGGTTTAGAGGTGAGTGCCAAATTGAGAGACGAGAGGAGTATGATTTTCGCGATTTAAGGGGAAAAGGAGAAAAGGTGAATTTTTATACCAGCGGTTATGACTTAAGCAGGATACAGGTCCCCAAATAATGAAACACGATGTAGGTGGGGATGAGGAAGAAGATAATCAAGTCATGGGTTGGAAGTCTAGGGAGAGGAAGACTCCCAGAGTGGCATAGACATAGGCATGAAAATAATCTGCTCTAAATCCTCGAATATGGTGTAATCGGGTACTGGAACTGAAGGCTTTTAGGCAGCCAGAAAATGAGTTTGATTGTTGGATAGACCTCCATTTCCTATGAAAGTGTGTGGAGAAGATATTAGTAGGTTGATCTCACCAAAAGAAGACGGCTTTAATACGACGTTCAGATTGACGCAGTCCATGGGACCTACTACCTCACTTTGGGTGAAAACGGACTGAGCAGTCGTCCAGCGTATGATAGGCATCATCAAAGCTGGAACTCATTCTTTTAAAAGTCTCGCGTAAGAGGAGGTCAAGCAGACTATCAGGCTTTATCTTACCTATAATATATATTTTGTATGTAAGTAGAGTTTCGAGACTACCAGTAAATCAGTAATATGAGATGCAATCACTCTACTTCATTTAAGGTGATGAAAAACTGGTAGTAGGATTTTCCCACAATGATATGAGTAGAGCTAATGTCTCCATTCAATTTCAGATATCCTTGCTTTCCCAAAAGTTGTTCTTATCCAGGCCTGGCCTTCCTTGAAATTCACATTTGTCCTGTGATCCAAGTGCATTTGTGGCAATGCGGCCGAGTGGATAATGTTTCAGGCTCCCATTCTGCACTGTCACCGTTCGACTCCCGCTGGGGGTGTTGATAAGATCTATGCGAGATCGAAACTGCGGTCCACCCTGGATAAGAACAGCTTTGGGGAAGGCAAGGCTATTTGAAATTTAATAGAAACGTCAGTTCTACTCATATCATTGTGGGAAAATTCTACTACCAGTCTTTCATGACCTTAAACGAAATAGAGTGAATACTGCTCATATTACTGATTTACTGGTAGTCTAGAAACTCTATTTACATACGAAAAATAGATTAAGTAGCCTTAAGATTTAGCTATTGCTCAGATTTGTTTCCTCAATAATTTCTGGGTGTTAATCTAGGCTGAGTGTTAGTGCTTCAATAGACTTCTAAA